GGCGAGTGAGATGGGTCCTTTTTCTGAAGCTCTTTCCACATTGCAAGCACTGATATGGTTTCTCTCCTTTATGATATTCTTTGATGGGAAGTGATCTATCCTTCCCGACTAAAAGTCATTTTGACATTCCAAGCACTGATAGTGATTCTTTCCAATGGGGATTTATTTCATAGGAAGTGGAATCGGAGCTGCGATTGAATGCTCTCTCCAAATTCCAAATATTCATACAACTTCCCCACTGTGTGTAATTTGTCGTGGTCTTCCCTTGTTCACAACTTCCAATCCATCACCACCTGCAAAAAATGAGGGAAGATTAGAGTCTCAGGAAGAAATGGGAGCCCCAACTTATTAAAACAATGCTAATAAACACTTGTGACAGAACAAATAACAGAAGGGAGTTAGATTTGCGGTTTTACTACAGGGTTAATGAATGCCTTTGTTGACTGGCATTAAGAGAGAGACATATTGATGGAAACCTGAGATTCAAAAGGCCTGGGTGTCGAGAATCCAGGCTCCGACCATCAGTAGGAAGATCAGTAAGAAATCAGTCTCACACCAAGATGACTTGAAGAAAAAGCTTTGGCTTCAGCCGTGCAATGTTTATTGTGTGCAGTAGAAAGAAAATCATCCTCCCTCCTCCAGCACTGCGCTTGCTCTGCCTGGTACTCAAAAGTAACAAATCAAAGGAATGTAACCTTGCTTTTGCCCACAAACAAAGAGAGTGTTATGCTACGTGAGCCAATCATTAGTCTAGCATGAGGTATTCACGCGCTCATCATGCTCCTAGCAATATCTCGTGCTGTAAAATCACTCTGCAATAATAAGAACTCTGCTCATGCTCTTATGTACAAGCAATCATTTTCCCACATGCCCTCTTTTCTTGTTTATGTTATTAGAGGGACCATTAATCAGAATTGCAATCCCATTACCTAAGCATTTATATTTTGCAACATAAATTCCCCTTGTAATCCCTGTGGTGGGCCTTGGTCGGAACCACCATGCAATATATTGGGAAATCAAAGAAAGCAAGCATTGAATACATAATAAAACCATCAATACATGCAATTACAATCAATAATAAATTTCTTAACCATAATCCATTAAGTAACCAAAAAAATAACCAATCCCATGGATCAAAACCTTCAGGTGGATTCAAAGGATTATGGGTTATCATTTGTTCCATATAATCGATAATAGCAGAGATATTGGTTGATTGATCAGTTATATACATACAACAATGAGAATGAATTAAGGCATAAATTCCACCTTTAGAGGCAAGGATTACATTTAAAGCATAAAAAGTTTATAAAGCAACTTCTCTCATTTCTGACTTTTTTTGTTTGTTTGTTTGTTAATTATTTTTAAAACAAAGATGACAGAATTAAAAACAAAGCTTCGGTCCAATTTGCCACAGAATAACCATAAATCAGATTAAAACAAATATGTAGATTTACTGCTCTTTCTCATCCAGTTGAACCAAACATAAAAATCTCTACACGCAGCCTGTTGGTCATAAGTCATGTAAGTTGTGACATTATTAACTGAGACTTTTGGCCTATCACTCATAGTGGTAATAAAAAAAAATAAAAAACAAAAAAAATCCATCAAAATACTCATAGGTCCAATTACAATATGGATAATGACCTAAAAAGTTATTGCTATTATGATTAAAACGAAAACAATAAGACACTATTTCTGCAAGCAACAAAACACAGGCGATAAACTTATACGATTGTCCTTCATATTATTTCTAATCTTAAATGAAGCATTTACTGGAATACTAGAATACCACCACCAAAAAAAAGCTCAAAGCTTTTTAAAATCACTTTTCTCAGCAGCTAAAAGGCACTAGCCAAGCATATTCCGCTTGCTGTAACTAAAAAGATTGCAACAAGGTCGAGAACAGAGCCCATTGTATTCGCGGGCCATGCTAAAGAACCATATTGCAACTTTCTTTCTGTCCGGGAACCATGCCAAAGCACAGGAATGAAACAACTGGAACACACTGAAATCCCCTCACCCCCTCCCTTGCCAAGAGTCCACAATAGTTCCAAGACAGCCCTCTGTACATGCTCAGAGGAACACATCATAGGGCAGGACTCCTGAGGGAGGAGAAACAAAAATATCGGGGGGGTAAAATCCAAGTGATGCCAATAAGGATGAGAATGGTAAATTATTCCAATGGCCACTTCCGAGCAACCTGTGTGATATTTCATGGCTCGATTATTGGCATGTAAAACCCACAATCCAGAAAAAGTCACACAACTATTTCTGCAGATACAGGAGCCCATTTGCTGTAAATAAGTCTGATGTATTGCTCCTTGTACTGCTGAGTCAAAAGTCCAAGCCCAATGAAGCGTGATGACACAGATGGGATGGTCGCTATTGGGAGGCAGCAAAACTGTAATGATGTTTGGTGGTTGAAGTGGCTTCCCAGGGAAAAGGGGGGCCAATGCAGTAGGGATGAAGATGGCCGTTCAGTGTGCCAGGAAACACTGAAACAGCTGTGGAAGAGCCTCTTCCATTGCAGAGGTGACTGTGATCTTGTCTGCTGGATCCTTATGTCCTTTAAGGGCAGAAAATAGTGGAAACAAAGTGGAGGTGGGCAGGTCCAAATAACTCTTTATCCAATTCAGCTGTCCAAGAATTTGTTGTAAATCCACCAGTTTAAGATGATCAGGGAACTGTAGTTGAGGCGTGACTGGAATGGCTGCAGATGCTGTCAGCTGGTGTCCCAGGCACGTAATAGGTAAGGTCCGCTGGATTTTTTCCTTAGCCACTGTCAATCCAACAGGTTTTATCCTTTGCAGGATTTTGGCACATTGCGGAGGACAGAGCCGTGGCTAGCAAGCGAACTTTATGCGTCTCAGTGCCCACTGACTGGCAGGCTTTAAGCATATCTGCAATGGCTATATTTGATGTTGCCATCAAAGGGCGCAGCACTTGCTTACAGTCCTCATGTGCATGATCAAATGCAAGCTGGCGTACAATCAGTTCTTGTGCTGCCAGGTCCTGAACTTGCCGCTTGAAGGTATTATACAAGCGATCAACAAATTGTCCATAGGGCTTTGTAGGGCCCTGTCTGATGCTGCCCAGTTGGCCATCGCGCTCATTCCTGTTATCAGGGACAGAGGCCAGAGCCTCTTGGGCTGAGGCTGTGGTGGCTGCCCAGTACATAGGATCAAGGGCCAACTGTTGGGCAATAGGAAGAAAATTGCCTCCTCCCGTCAGCCCATCGAGAACATCAGTTTGGGTCAGCGTGACGGGGGCTGGGGGTGTAGGGCCATTGTCCTTGACAGAAGAATACAGTTCCTTTATGAATCTCAAATCAAACTGTTCGTGCCTGGCTGGGCCTCCCCCCAGGGCGGGAGGAACACTCACAGGAAAAAGATTAGAAGTTGTAGAATCAAAAGCTAGCAACGGAGCAGCGGCACGGAGAGATTTTTGGAGAGGAGTAGTAACGGGAGGCGCAGGAAGCGAAGAATGCGGAGGAGGGACGACAGAAGCCGAAGGAGGAAAAATGTCTGCCTGTTTAGGAGGCTGATAAAACGGTGCTTCTGAAGGCAACATGAGGATTGGGAGGGGGGGCAAAGGAGCTGAAGCAGCGGCCAGGAGGAGATTTGTAGGAGTTAGGCTTGAGATAGCCTTATAAACCTTACAGCAGGCATGCAAAACTTTGACATCAATCTGAGGATGGTTTTGGAAAAATTGTCCTATTTTTTCCCAGTCTTTTAAATGATAATTCCCATTCTGAGGAAACCAGGGACAGTGAATATCCAATGCTTCTATAAGAGACACGATATCAGCATCTGAGACAATGAGGCTGTTGCTGGCCAAGAGAAATTTAAGGTCTTCAAAAAACTTTTTCTGTGGTGGAGAGAGAGACTGCCCCATAATGGCAAAAATAAGGGAGCACTCACCGGGATCCTAAAAAAGGATGAAGGACGCGTCTGGAACCCTTGCCGGGCGTGGTGAGCGCTGATAAGTCCGCAACGTCGCGAAGTCCAGAATCAAACACACGGGGGTACCAAGGGAGCACTCACCGGGATCCATAGCGGATGAAAGACGTGTGGTGAGCGCTGAACGATGAGAAACAACGTGGAGTCCGAAGGCAGTCACACGGGGCACCAAATGTCGAGAATCCAGCTCGACATCAGTAGGAAGATCAGTAAGAAATCAGTCTCACACCAAGATGACTTGAAGAAAAAGCTTTGGCTTCAGCCGTGCAATGTTTATTGTGTGCAGTAGAAAGAAAATCATCCTCCCTCCTCCAGCACTGCGCTTGCTCTGCCTGGTACTCAAAAGTAACAAATCAAAGGAATGTAACCTTGCTTTTGCCCACAAACAAAGAGAGTGTTATGCTACGTGAGCCAATCATTAGTCTAGCATGAGGTATTCACGCGCTCATCATGCTCCTAGCAATATCTCGTGCTGTAAAGTCACTCTGCAATAATAAGAACTCTGCTCATGCTCTTATGTACAAGCAATCATTTTCCCACAGCCTGGCACTTTCCAGGATGGATTTTGTTTGGCTCAATGTAATCTGCACCATTTGCAAGTTCAGTCTTCTCTTTGGTAAACCAATAAGTTGCAGAAGAAAAACTAATAAACCTGATAGAAGCAGGTTCATCTTCTGTCCCCATGATGAAGTCTACATTCAAAAAGAAGAATCATAGAATCATAGAGTTGGAAGAGACCACAAGGGCCATCGAGTCCAACCCCCTGCCAAGCAGGAAACAAAGAAGAGTTTGGATTTGATATCCTGCCTTTCACTCCCTTTAAGGAGTCTCAAAGCGGCTAACATTCTCCTTTCCCTTCCTCCCCCACAACAAACACTCTGTGAGGTGAGTGGGGCTGAGAGACTTCAGAGAAGTGTGACTGGCCCAAGGTCACCCAGCAGCTGCAGGTGGAGGAGCAGGGAAGCGAACCCAGTTCACCAGATTATGAGACTACCGCTCTTAGCCACTACACCACACTGGCTCTCAAGGGCAGCTGAGATCAGCCTGATCATGGTTTTAAAAGGCAATTGTGGAGGAAGAAAAGATTATGATCCAGCAGGAATCCTTACTGAGAGAGTCCACAATCCTACGATTCTCCTCCATGACTTCCTTATGCAGAGCTCTCTGGTCAGGATCCAGCAACGCCCACTCCTCCTCTGTGAAATACACAGCGACATCTTTAAAACACAGAGGACCCTGAAGGAAAAAGGAAAAGGTCCTCCACTTAGACAGCACAAAGATTCTCTACTACACATTGCTTGATTGTTTTTCTGCCCATTCATTGTTGTGTTGTTTCAATGGGGTTACTTTGCTGCACATTCTAATTACAGACACTTACTTGAACATTTTAATTGTCTTCTTTTATTGTGCATTTTAATGATGGGTGTCAGGGGAGGGATGCAGGGGGGCCATTGGGCTACAGAGAGCCTCCGAAACTCCTGAGGAGCAGCGCCTCACCTCGCCAGGCTGGCCAGGAGGGACGCACGCCACTTCTGTCGCCCAGCTTGCGCAGAGGGGTGAAACGCAAGGAGGTGAGGAGGAGGCTTGGGGTGTCAAAGTTCTTATGTTGGGGGAGAAGCCGGAAGGGGCCACTCCCAGATTCTGCAAGTGACTGAGACAGACATGAACTTTGTAGATCTGCACTGTAAAGAGTCCTGACTGGTTACTCACGAGCAACCACCAGCAGCATCTGACAATGGGTATAAATATTTGTGTGCATGGGTGGAACTCCACATGGTGTTCTTCAAATTATTCTGTCTGTGGAAGCATTCCTGTTTGATAGACAGAATGATCCCTTCTCTACTCCCGCTGTGCGATGCTTGGGGGGCGATGGAACTCTCCGTGTGCCCTACAGCCAACTTCATGGAGCTCATGGGGGCACAGGGGGGGGGTCTCCAGCAGCTGATGGGGCTACTTAATTCTGACCACAGCTTAGAAGCCTTTTTTGATAAATATAGAAATATGACTGCAGCTACTGATAAATACAGAGAAATTAAGAAGGATAGCTGAGGTGAGGTGGCTGTTCATTCCTGTCAGCACATAGAGCTTCTTGAATGGCATTGTCCATCTTTATTCAGGACAGAGCCTTTGACAGAAGCCAAGAGGAGGAGAAATTCTTTCCGGCCCAGAGGCTCCCTGGCTGCCCCACTCCTCTGACTCTTTCCCCACAAAGCTCTTTCCCCATACCAGATCTGTTTCCACAGCTGCTGCTTCTCCTCCGTTCTCATGAAAAGATGGATGAGGAGGTCTGGGGGGCATCCTTCGGTCATCTGCGAGAGACAAAAGTCAAAGGGAAGCCATCAGGTCCTGCGTCTCTCACTTCTTCAGACACACTGAAACAGAAGTCTCTTTCAGAAACCTGTTTCAGTGTATCTGAAGAAGTGTGCATGCACATGAAAGCTCATACCAATAACAAACTTAATTAGTCTATGAGGTGCTACTAGAATGATTTTTTTTATATTGTTTCAACTACGGCAGACCAAGACGGCTACCTACTTGTAACTAGAGGTTCAGCACTTAGAGATAAGTGCCATAGATGTGCCATGGAAAAGGTCTTGCTTGTTGAGTGCATTTTGACATTGTACCCATTTCAATTTTGTGTTCTTCAAAATACATCTGCCCTCCTTTGGGCTCTTGGCCCCAAGTGCCTCCCCCCCCTAAAGATGAACAGACCCCAAAGATTAGTTTCAAGATCCACAGAATGAGAAGAAAGACGAGTTCCTCCTTACCCAGTGGCCTCCCTCTGGCGTCCAACGGAGTCTTTTCTGCCTCACAGGAATCCAGGCCCATTTCCGCAAAGAGAGCCTTTCTCTGAAAGAGTAACAAGGGTTTCAAAACAGAGAATGGGGAGAAGGATTAGAAAAGGAATGATCGGAGCAAACACTTTAGGGGAGCAGATCTCATCCCTTGCTTCTCCAAAGAGGGCGAGCCGTTAGGAGAGCATCTTGGAAGGCTCCCTGTCTTGCTTGGAGCCCCTTGGGAGTTTCCAGAGGAAAGTCTCTCTCACCTGCTGCTCTGCCTGCTTCCTCTCCTCTGCCTGACTCAGGAGGAAACCTTCGGCCAGGGATACAGCCTGGGAACTGGTCTCTGCTCCACATTCCCTCACCAGCTCTCCATCTCCAGCGGAAGGACAGCCAGGAACTGCTCCAAGATCACCAGGTCCAGCATCTGAGCTTTCGTATGACTTTCTGGCTTCAGCCACCGACAGTCAAGGTGGTGGAGTCGGCCGCAAGCCTCTCGGGGTCCTTTGGCCTCCTGAGAGCAGAACTGCGTCAACTGCTGGCTCTGCACCTCTGAGCAGAGGGTGTCCTCCTCACCCGGGATCTTTTGCACTGAGTTTTCCCATAATCCCCCACTGCTCCCAGTTTGGAGGGCAGGGCCTCCTCCTGCTTCAGGGCCAGCTGAGTCTTGCTCATCCATCTGGGCTCTCATGAAGCCTCCAAGAGATCGGAAGGAATCCTTTCGTTTTCTGCCAAGTTCTGATGGTCCGATTTAGAGGTGCTAGCAAAGCCTACAAAGCAAACATATTGGTCTGTTATCAGACTGATACATGGTCAGGAGAAGAGAAATGTTTCCTGAGCAAGCGTGGCTGAGTCTTGCTAGGAACCAGGGCTGGACTGCACCACAGCCCTGACTCTGAACCTTCATTAACAGGAAAAAAGGAAGAGGAAAGAGAAGGAAGCCTCTAGCCCTGGTCTAAGGAAAGCGACCATGCAGAATTGCCTCACTGACAATTTCATGACCCAGAAGGTGGAAGAAACAAGAAGGGGATCATCTGTCTTGGACCTAGTCCTCAACAACAGATGGGAACTGATCAACCAAGTGGAAGTACTGGGAAACTTGGGAGGAAGTGATCATGTCCTCCCCTGAGACAGAGGGAAAGGCAAGCTGAGTGTAGTCAGGAATTCACTTTAAGGCGGCCAATTAAAAGAAACTTAAGGAGATACTGGGCGAGATCCTATGTTCTGAAATACTGAAAGAAATGGGAGCTTCTTCAAGGTGAAATATTGAAGGCCCAAATGCGGGCAGTCCCAACCGGAAAGAAAAGTGAGAGGCATCTAAGGAAAACAGTGTGGCTGCATAAGGAAAGTGATGTAAGGAGGGAGCTGCAGTCCAGGATCGGAAAAGAGGGAGGAACTGGACACCTGGCTTCTTCTAGTGAATTCAGACCTCCAGGACCTGCTGAGCTGCATCCAAGGGACTGAAGGAGCTTGCGGATGTAATCTCAGAGCCTTCATCTAGAGCTCTGAGGATTCCTGGAGAACAGGAGAGGCTCCTGCAGACTGGAGGGGGGCAAATGTTGTCCCCCATCTTCAAAAAACAGGAAAAACTACTGACTGGTGAGCTTGAGGTTGATACCAGGCAACCAGGGAAGGTCCTAGAACAGATCATTAAACCGTCAGTCTGTGAGGACTGAGAAAAGGATGCTGTGATTACTAAGACCCAGCAGGGGTTTCTCGAAAACACGTCATGCCAGACCCATCTGGCAGCTCCCAGGTGATTGGCTGGGCTCCCTTTATTAATGGCATTTCTACCCCTCCTCACTGAGTCCCCACAACAATGGGGCTCCGTTCAAGGTGCTGACATGAGGGGTTCACTGGGACCCCAATCTCTGAGGAGCCTCTGGAGCAGAGCCCACCGCTAAGCACCAACTCATATGTCGCAGACTCACTCATTATCGGTGACCCACCAAATTTCTACCCTTTGCCACAGGATGCTGAGGGGGGGGAGCTCTTGTGTGAGGGGAAACCTCGTGATTTGCAGTCTGAGGCAGGAGTTGGTCAAACCAGAAAAGCTTTTTTTTTAAAACACAAAATGTTGTTGAGAGAAAGTTGGGTCAGGAGAGGCATTATTTCAGGTGGAAGTTAAGTTATTATTCAACTAAACGGAAAGATGTCACAGGCCGAAACACAGGCACAGCGTCTCTCGAAATTGGTTCTTCCACTTGAGGGAGATGTTGAGGGGGGGCAAAGAGGGGGCCAAATGCTTCCCGGCGTTGCTGCTCCTTTCCCTAGTAATGAAGGGGAACAGTTAGGGTTACCCCAAAAAGCCCTAAAACTGTCTGTGAATCCCCCCCCCAGCCAGGCCTGAAGAGCCTCGCCTCTAGCATTTTAAAAACTGCATTTTCCTCTCAGACAAAAAGCCTTAGCTCAGCATTCCGCTTGCTGGAACTGGAAAAGAGGGCAACCAGGGAGAGAACAGAGTCCCTTGTCTTCTCAGGCCTTTGGCCTGGCTAAAGAACCACCTTGCAACTTGCTTTCTGTCCGGGAAGCAGGCCAGAGCACCAGAAGGAAACAACGGGAACACACTGAAACCCTCTCACCCCCTTTCTGGGAAAAGTCCAAAAATGGTCCCAAGACAGGAGCTTTCTGTTCATGCTCAGAGGAACTCATGGGCAGGACTCTTGAAGGAGGAGGAGGAAAGGGGAGGGAACTGGAAGGGGATATAAAAACTATGTGCAATGGCTGTGAACTTTGGGCTTGTTTTGTGACTCATCACACTTGCTCCTCTGCCCAACCGGGTTGGCAGAATAAAAACTCTTTCCCTTGGTGTCGCTTGGCTCCTTTTCGTCCCGGCTCGGGTGCAACATTTTCCTACCCATGGTTTGAAAGGCCTAGAAAGGCTACCGTAATGGCAAGCATTTCCGTGAAAAGCTTTGGGCGCCGCCTCATTCTTTGCCTCCAGAGAAGGGAGCTTTTCGTCCTTGACCCGACTCTCTTAGGTCTTTCCCAATAAGATCACCGACCTCGTGATCCCCTTCTCCTTCGGGATCCCCTTCTCCCCTCCTGACGGGAAGGAGACCCCGGTCAGACCATAGCTGTCAACCTCCCCCTTTTTGCAGGAAATTCCCTTATTCCAGCGCCATTTCCCGCTGCCATCCCGGATTGTTAGATCTCCCGTCGACTGTCCCCAGGACAGGGGAGGCTGCGGATCCCTTCTTTTCGAGGCTGCGGATCCCTTCTTTTCGAGGCTGCGGATCCCCCCTTCTTTTCCCATCTGAAGGTGGGCAGCTCTGGTTCAGAGGGTCTTCCCCCGGCTTCTCCTCTCCTGCCCCAGACTCAGCCCCCCATGGGACGCCTGTCCGTCCATCCATCTGCCTGCCTGCCTGCCTGCCTGCCTTCCCCACAGGCCAGGGCTCAGGGATGAGGGGAGTTGTAGTCTGGGACCCCCAGCTGGAGAAACCCCCTGGCCCCCCTTTGCCAAGCCCTGCCTGCCCCTCCCTGCAGGAGCCCCCCCCCAATAGGACCCCCTGCATCCCGGGACCCCGAGGGGAGAGGAGACTCACCGGAGGAGACAAGAGGGGGCCGGGGAGGGGATCCGGAAGACCCTCCCCCTCACTTCCTGTCCTCTCTAGGAAGGGGGCGCAGCTGCTCTTAACCCTTGCCTAGCCTGGCGCGCCCAGCTGGTCTCCTTTGGGGGGAGCCGAGAAGGAGAAAGAGGAGCCCCCTCCCCCCCCCGGGATGGGCAGGGCAGAAGAAAGGGCGGAAGGGGGGGGCCTGGAGGGGGTGCAGTGTCCGGCCTCGGGGGCCAGGGCTCCAGTCAGGCAGGGCCAGAGCGGACAAGGGAGCAGCAGCCTCCCGGTCCCGGGGACAGGCTAGGGGAGGTCTAAGAATCCGGGATCGCAGTGGGAGGCTCCATGCAGGAGGAGAGCGCCTTTGGCCCTCTAAGGTAGACTGGCTCTGGCCCTGGAGGCTCCATGCAGGACTCCTTAGAAACCAGGAAGAGCCCTGAGGCAGCTGCATGGAGCCAAAGGGGACCCATCCGGCCCAGGATCCTGCCATAGCTGTCAACTTTCAGATTTGAAAATGAGGGATCAGCAGCCTCCCCTGTCCCAGGGACAGTCTATGGCAGGGATCTGCAACCTGTGGCTCTGGAGCCGCATGTGGCTCTTTTACATCTTTGCTACGGCTCCGGGGCGGATACTAGCGAGGGGAGGAGGCGCATTGTGCGCCCCGACACTCCCCACTGTGGCGGGCGCTGTACTGGCTGTGACGGTCGCATGGGGGCAGTGCGTGCGTTAGTCACGCACCGTCCCGACGTCACCTTCCCGCCCGCTGTCAGATCGTGGCTCCGGAGATATATTTGTTTTAAATGTCGCAATGGTTTTGCGGCTCCCAGTTGTTGTTTTTTCTTCGGAAACGGTCCAAGTGGCTCTTTTTTGTCTTAAAGGTTGGCAGACCCCTGGTCTATGGGATGTCTAACAATCCGGCACTCAGGCGCCCCAAGCAGGAGGAGAGCGCCTTGTGCCCGCTAAGGTAGACTGGCTCTGGCCCTGGAGGGCTCCGTGCAGGAAGAGCCCTGAGGCAGGTGCATCACGCCAAAGGAGACCCATCCGGCCCAGGATCCTGCGCCCACAGTAGCACCCAGGCACCCCAAGCAGGAAGAGGGCACCCTCTCCCCACCTTGTGCTCTGCCACTCTGAGGTAGACTGGCTCTGGCCAGGGAGGCTCCGTGCAAGAAGAGCCCTGAGGCAGGGCATTGCGCCAAAGGAGACCCATCCGGCCCAGGACCCTGTGCCCCCAAGCAGAAGGAGAGCATCTTCCTCCCTGCCTTGTGCTCTGCCATTCTAAGGTAGACTGGCTCTGGCCCTGGAGGCTCCATGCAGGAAGAGCCCTGGGGCAGGTGCATCACGCCAAAGGAGACCCATCCAGCCCAGGATCCTGTGCCCACAGTGGCACCGAGGCGCCCCAAGCAGGAGGAGAGCACCTTCCTCCCCCCTTGTGCTCTGCCGCTCTAAGGTAGACTGGCTCTGGCCATGGAGGCTCCATGCAAGAAGAGCTCTGAGGCAGGTGCATCACGCCAAAGGAGACCCATCCAGCCCAGGATCCTGTGCCCACAGTGGCACCGAGGCGCCCCAAGCAGGAGGAGAGCACCTTCCTCCCCCCTTGTGCTCTGCCGCTCTAAGGTAGACTGGCTCTGGCCATGGAGGCTCCCATGCAGGACTCCTCAGAAACCAGGAAGAGCCCCAAGGCAGGTGCATCATGCCAAGGGGGACCCATCCGGCCCAGGATCCTGCCATAGCTGTCCACTTTCAGATTTGAAAATG